AATGTATTCTCTCCTGAAGTGTAGTATTACTCTCTATAGAATTCAGTCACACCACACAATACAGGGCGCTCTGGTGGTTAATATTTACACACACCCTTATTGCAATTCTATACACATAGAGTACGCAAGATGGATGTTTGAAAAATAGCAAAATATTTTTTGCGTAGATAAGCCCACGGCGGTGAACACTTTTTTAAACATGTCAACTAGGTACTTCGACAATATTTCCATCTAAATCTKAATACTTTATAACAAATTTTGTAACTTAATCGCGTGATCTCGCATCTATGTGGAACTATAGGTAAGGTAATAAGATAGATGGTGTATATAATTTGTACACGATGTATATTATTAATTAAAAAAAAAAAAATTTATAATAAATATTATCTATTACAATTACATTAAACTATCAACTTGTTAGAGGAAAATATAAATTTATATTTTGTTTAAACTTATAAGTAGTCACGATTGTGTACGTATGTATTGTCATATTAAACGGTTGATGTCAGAATAATAATTACGTTCTATATAATATACAAATATTATTAGGTACATGAACTTGTATTTTTTACGTACTTGTACTTACGGTTGAACTGTTCACTATTGTATTAAATATGGTGAACAATGAACAATGGTGATGTTTTTCTGTTTCGTTTGATTTTTTTTGTTTTAGATAAAATAAAGGGAGGTTCGTATTGTTATTAAAAAACGAAGTATGTTCTTACCAATTTCTGGTGTGGCGGAGGTGACGAATTTGAATACATCGGACATCGGGGTCCAGCCGAATCGGTTTTTGGCCATTACTTTGGCTTCATATTCAGAAGCGGTGTCCAATCCACGGATGTTGTATGACATGCGGTGAGTGAATTGTTCGCTGGGAACGGCTGGAAGGATCACATCATTCCATTCGTTCCGCATGCTGTTGTAGCCGTAAATCGGACTGCCGTATCCCTCGTTGTCCTGAGAAAGCATTAAATTATAACATATTTGTTATAATATGCCGGTGAATATTATGATAATATGGAAATAATAATACTATTATCACGCTAAACGATTTCGATTTCGAATAATTGTATAATACTTAATAGTCGACGAGTCGACTAATCACACAACTAAGTACTATAATAATTATTGAATAGTTTCTTCAATCAAGCCAGCCAAGCCCTCTTATTTAACCCTAACTATATCTAATCTATTTTGCTTATTATAAATATTATATTTTATACAGATCGTACAAATTAAAATAAATATGACAAAAAGAAAAAGAAAGTTGTTTATTTTAATATTGTTTCACGTACGTTACGAGTAGGGGGCTTCTTTGGCCACTGGTATTGAGTTCGCGTGTCGGCTGGGGACTCGTCGGGAAGTGGAACTTTCCTGTAGAACAGTTTGAACTCTTCGATGGGAGTGTAGCTGTCCACCGACCAAGATATGTTGTAATTGTTCTGGTGTCGTCCATTTTTGTTGCTGTTTATCTTCACAGGATTTGGTTTTCCTATATAGACACCAAAACACACATAATGTTATTTTAGAGTAGACATTTAGCAAAAAAAAATATGTATATATAAACTGAAGACAATAGTTATACATATCTTACTTAATATTTTCTATTAGTTCGCATCTAAGCACATATTTAGATAATAAAAATAAAACAAATGTGTTATATCTATTGATTATTTGTATTCACCTGAAAGTTCGACGTAAGCTCTGCTCTTTCCTACGACATTGTCGGCCACACAGCTGTAATTTCCAAAATCACTGGCCTGCACTTTTCTCACTATAAGGGTATGTCTGCTTCCTCTAACTTCAGTTATGCGACGTTCGTTCGTGTCTAACTTCAATGTGTCTCTATACCAAGACACCTGTAAAAAACCGTACTCAATTAAACGTTGATATTTCAACTAGTCGCGACTAAATATCAAAAATCTTAATATTTTAATATTTTTTTTTCAATTTAACCTTGGAGGTACCTAATACAGTAAGTTTTTCAAAATCCAAATATTGTTATTGATACCTACCAATGATTGACTTACRTCATACAATCACATTTTATCGTACGCATTTATTGTAATAAATATTTTAAAATGTATTATTAATAATATTATTACTAAAATAAAGCTCGTAATAAAAAATAATGAGAATTTAATGTTACGTAAATAATCACGAAAATTAATCTATATTTAAAAAGTGTATGGTCCATCCACACACGTTATACATGACGTGCAGAATATATTACATTTAAAATATATACATTTTCGACCATGACAAACAAATTTTCTTCCCACAAYCCATAAGCYACAAAAAAAAAGGGTAAAGATGGTTTTTCTTCCTAAACAAACACTTATAAATGACTTGAAAACCACAGGTTAACCACTAGGTTTACTACACGTCTGCAGTCAGCTTTTTGACACAATTTATACAGTAATTAAAATTTTATATACAATCCTTTGTTATTTTTTTCTCATTTCATTTATACTTCAGATATAAAAGGTCAAACAAACATTCAAAAATCACATCATGGTCCATGTTAGCAAACCACTTCCAATCGTAAGTTCAAATACAATCATCCACCTTTCTTCATTTTCGAGAGAAACGTGTAATAGCTATTCTATTTGAATTTTCATTTAATATAAATTTATGGTTGTTTAACATATTATTTAAAATATTTATATAATAAGTTCCTATACTACAGCCATCTATAATTATGATATTGAGTCCAATACATTAACTATACCTACAATAAATTGAAATTCAGTTGAACTCGATTGTAAAATACTACAAATTAATAACGTACTAAATATGTTCTCCGTTTGAGATTTATTCATTTGATAAGCATTTACCTTGATCTCACTTTCAATTCCAATATTATATTCATTTGTTAAACAAACTATTAAAAGATGTTAGCATTTGAATATCAAATGATAATCGAAGCTCCACCGTATAATATATGCTGTTTGTAAAGTTGATGTGTCAATAAGTTTCAGTGCCTTTGTCTCTCTAAAACGAGGCTTCTCGTWATCGTGGCTGATACACTTTATTTATTTTATACATTTTACAATTACAAGATTACTACTACCTACYTCTAAAGGTTAATTATTTGAAGCATAAACGTACATTTAACGATATTAAAACTAATCATAGAAGTAACATAGATCATACCAAAGTATACATATTGATAATCAATTTAGATCCCATATATACATCCCTCAACCCCTTTGGAAAGAGTAAAAAAAGTAAATAACTATAAACATTATAATTATATCATTCATAAAAAAAAATTAATTAAAATATATATATAGTAATATATATACGCATATAATAAATCATATCACAAAATATATATTTGCGAAATATAATAATATTAATTTGGTTACTTGAACACCGCAGGTTGTGCATATTGGAGGTTCTTCCCTGGA